CAGGCGGCGCGGATCCTGGAGCGCCGGCGCTGCGACGCGCCGGAACCAGGGGCCGCGGCCGAGGCCCGGCGGGAGCTGCAGCTGCTGTGCCGGGTGCTGGGCCTGCCCCCGCCCTCCCCGGGCTGCCCTGGCGCCCGCGTCCTGGCAGACGTCCACGCCAAGGTGAGTGCCCGGCCTGCGGCCGCGATCCAGAAGGGCAGAGGGGTAGTGTTCTACTGGGCCACTCCACCCCAGAGCTGGCTGCTTGGGGGTATGCCAATGGCCTGATCCGGGGACACTGGCTAGGGCACAGGACGGGGAAAGGAGCAGGAGGCTTTTCCCAGGGGGCGTTACACTGGGCCGTCACTGCCTACTCCACCCCAGAGCTGGCTGCATCGGGGCCCTGGGGTAGAGCAGGGGCTGGGCCTTGGTGTGGGCCCCAATCTGGGCCTTATCCAGGGCTGGGGGAGGGGAAGCGAGGCCTGTTCCCAGACAGCGTTATACTCAGCCATTACTGCCTGCTCCACCCCAGAGGTGGCTGCATCGGGGCCCTGGGGTGCAGCAGGGGCTGGTTCCTGGTGGGGGCCCCAATCTAGAGCTGGGTCAGGGGAAGCGGGGCCTGTTGCTAGGTGGTGTTATACTCTGCCATTACTGCCTGGTCCACCCCAGAGCTGGCTGCATCGGGGTGCGACAGGGGCCTGGCCCCGACTGCCTGCCACACGGGAGCCTCCGTTGCAGAGTAATTAAAAGTCCTCCCCCAGTGTTTCTTTTTCCAGCCCCCCCCAACCTTGTGCCCACCCCCACCAGGTGTCTCAGGCCCTGTCTGCTCTGCCCGGGGGCAACCAGGAGATGGCACCGCTGCTCAGAGCCCCCCTGACCTCACCTCAGTGGGTATGTGAGGGGGGTGAGGGGACCGTGGGAGTCCGGCCCCATGGATCCCAGTGGAAAGCTCCCCCCAGTAAGGGGGCAGCACTGGTCTAACTGAGGGGACTCCTGTCCATGGATGCCTGGCACGGACGGGGGCATGGACACCTGGGTTTTCTCCCCGGGTTTGGGGGTGAGAGTGGAGGGGCCTGGACGCCTGGATTTCTCCAGCTCCGGGAGGGGCGTGGAGGCCGGGGGGGTCCTGGGCTGATCCCTTGCCCCCCCCAGGAGGTGCTGGAGCAGATCCAGGAGAAGCTGAGGACCGAGTACGAGTGCCGCCGGCGGGTGATGGTGACACGCTTCGCTGTCACCCTCCAGTCCTTCCAGTGGGCCGAGAGGGTGAAGGTGAGAGGTTGTGGGGGCGGGGGGGCTGGGGCTGGGCCTCGGTCTGGGCCCGATCCTGCAGGGGGGCAGAGTCCCAGGAATGGTATTTTCCCCCCACCAGGAGCACGGCCTGGCCCTGCCAGACGCGCTGACCTCTCTGCGGTGCGCGGGGGCTGAGCCCTCAGTCGTGACCTTGGCCCGGCTCCTGGCCGTGCGCGCCGACGCCTCCCGCCTTGTGCCCGCCAGCGCTGGCGCTGCCCGGCTCCGCACCTGCTGCTCCATCAACAAGGTACCCGCGGCCCCCCCCCCTGGGGGCGCGCCCCC